GCAATGTCTGGTGAATTCGCGTAAATACACGTCAAGATGGAATCCTTCAATCGGGAAAACGCCTTTGGTATCNCGAAGGATTCCATCTCGACGTGTATTTACGCGAATTCACCAGATTGCGTGATACTGGTTCTCTTCTGAGTGTTTCTGTGCACTCTGAAAGGGAGGCTATACAAATGAGAAACACACAAGAGAACATTCTTGAGATGGTTCAGAGAAGTCCGCGTCTGTCCACTCGTAGAATGGCCTCTCGCATCGGCGTATCGCTTATGCAGGTGTTGATGAAGAGTTGTATCCTTACCATGATCAAATGGTAAAACATCTGGAACCAAGCGACCATGCTCAGCGTATGGATTTCTGCCACCGGATCAAAGCTCATCCCGAACTGCTAAGCGTCATTTTATTGTGATGAGGCATCGTTTACCCGGGACGGTGTAAATAATTTAAGAAATATGCATACATGGTCCCATAATAATCCCCATGAGACAATGGAAACAAAATTCCAAAAGAGATTTTCTGTGAATGTATGGTGTGGTGTGCTTGGGAACAGGTTGATCGGGCCTTTTGTGTTTCACAACAATTTAGCTGGAAACACATATGGAGCCTTCCTGAGGAATGAGTTACCATGTTTGTTGGAAGACATCCCGTTAACAATAAGGAGGCAAATGTACTTCCAACATGATGGGGCTCCTCCACATTACACTCAGCACATGAGACACTACTTAGATGAATCCTTCCCTAACCGCTGGTTAGGTCGTGGTGGTCCCGTTGCATGGCCACTGAGGTCGCCAGATCGTATGCCTCTAGATTATTACCTCTGGGGCCACATGAAGACCTTTGTCTACGAAACTGAGGTGGATTCACGAGAAGCACTGCGGAATCGTATTTTTGCAGCGGCAGAGCACATACCGCACCATCCAGGCAACATTGCTTCTGCTATCCAATGCCTCATGATGCGTGCCGAAAACTGCATTGCAGCTGGCGAAGGACACTGAACAATTACTATAAAGCAAGTACTGTATTTTAGTACATATGTTGTTGGCTTATACCAGAATGCGCAGTCAGCCATGTTACATCAGCACTTGTCATTCATGTGTCTTGTATAGTGCTTGGAAACCTAAGGACAATTATGACATGGCGAGCGAGTATTTTATACTTCAATTTTATGGCTTCATGTCACTCACAAGTTAGTTTGATGTTACGTACATTATTAACATTACAGAAACCACATGTTCCTGCCAGTTTTAATATGTATTTTGTAATCAACAAGTGTGTAACACCGGTCAAAGTTTCACACTTCTCTGGCCATTATCTCCGTAACCATTCAAGTTTGGACATAGGTGTTTTGGGTTATATCGGCATACCTTAACATAAGGAACACTCTCACGAAGTTTGGCACATTCCTCCTGGGACACGCTGTATATCAAACATGCTGATTTCACCCCTTGCAGTTTCTTACCTCTTAACCTTTATCATCCAGGAATACCTTCCTACCACTCAGCACTACAGCCCTGGGTGAACCTTGGCCTCCTTTACAATCAGTCTCCACTGCTCTCTATTCCTCATCTTCTTCAGGTCGTTCTTAACATTGTCTAGCC